CTACAGTATTTTTATTTACAGTTAAAATATATGTTTATTAAATAAAGTCTAATGTTACAACTAATCGGGGATCCCTTTAAAGGAGACATATCATGTAAAATCCATTTTTTTAAGCCGTTAAATGTATTTTGTTGTTCACTTGGTGTCTCTGGGAGTGCAGAAAATGTAATTCAGTCTTTCACYGTGCTCCATAAATATCTTTACATTCTGTTTGGGTCAAAATTTTCAACCAGTTTTCTCTATTACATTTTTTGGAATTATATTGCATTAAATTACTTGCAACAGAACTGCCAATTTGGCTGCTTTTATTCTCCTCTAAGTGGACAAGTCTTCCCTTGTTGACAACTTTTAATTCATTTGTAAACAAAAGAGGAATAGAAAACCCCCTTTATGGATGCTATGTCATACTCCGTGGAAACAACATGCTAAAATTATACATGTTAATGAAATGCATAAACATTCTGAGGTTGTACATCCTGTTTTTATGCTGCTGGACTTTAAAACAGCTCAGCTCATATATGTGTTATGCATGTTAAAATGGACATATAAGACATGAGTCTTTTATTTGWCATTATTTTACTTGAACATAATGAAATTTCAGTGATGCTCTCAGTGATTTAAGAAAGTAATAATACAGTATACAGTATAATCATATCTCTGCTATCAAACTAGAATGAACCACTCAGGAAGCTGAYCGAGGCGGGGTGTGAAGCACCTCCTTTGGTTTTAAAGAGACAGCTTCAAAACGAGTTGATCTGAGACACGCCTCAAAAGGGGTGAAAGGGGGGCTTGTGGAGTTACAATAAAGATTAATTTAGACKAAAGCATTGCAGTTCCACTTCATATAGAGCCCAACTGAAAGATTTAAACGTGAAAAGGAAGAATTTAAAAGCAGGATATCTGAGAAATGATGGAATTGTAGCTGTTTTGTCAAACACTGTGCATATTTCTGTGATATCAAAAGATGTCATGATCTGAGTATACATATTGTGAATGACCRTTTGCTACCAAACCCGGTTTTAGATCAATTTCTGCCAAACTGACTGACTTATAACAACTTTAGTGTTTTTTAAGGTTCATTAGCTGTCATATTGAATTGGACAGAAGCCAACAAATCATATTTTCATTAAGACTCAGTATTATGGTGTACAGAGTCTTAATACTTAGTGGTGTGTGTTGTGAACTGCTTTCACCTACAAATAGACCAAATTTTAGCAACATAACCAAGAAATTTATGAAGGTGTTGCCGTTTTTGTGTTTTCTACCAGCAGCTGGCTGTGGTGGGCATTTTAAATTGATTTGCATCTAGCAGGTAAGTAGATTCAATGCTTATTTCCTGAAAGAGTCATTAAAATTCATCAAGTGGTTCATAAGATATTTTGCTAACAGACAGGTGGGCACACAGGCATAAACATTTTTGCTTTTGTTCGCCTTTTTTGGGGGGGTGGGGGGTGTCAATATAAAGCCATAAAACATATTTAATAACAGGGAGGAACAGCAGATGTTAAGTTTAGGCATCAGTTATTGTTTTAAACAATGTCCCATCTTAAGAGAGAAAGACAATTATGGAGAATTAAAAGGGTCYGGACAGAAAATCTGCCAAGACGTCTTACAGCCTGATGCTCTCTGAACCTCAAGGATGCTTCTCGCATGAGCCGCGACAACAACAACAGAGTCATTTACTGTAAGCAGCGTCCACAGTGTCCACAAATAAAGACAAACGGTCTTTAAAAAAAAGAGAGACCCTGAAAAACATTCCTCCAACCCAAATGTTTATTGTTGTCCTTTAGGCCTTTAGAAACAGAGCGCTGCATTCCCGCAGTAATCCCGGAGGTCTGAGAAAA